ACTAGTTCTGTTGTCTAAACCTGACTAGTTCTGATGTGTAAAACTAACTAAGTAGTTTTGTTGCCTTAAACTAACACTAACAGGGCACTAATAGTTGGACAATCTGTCCTCCGTCATCCATTCATCAGGACTAGCAGCCCCAAAGATTCCCATGCTGGGTTGGGTGTATGTAAATGTTTGTTTGTCTGCTGGCTGCAGGCCATCAGGACTTTGTCAGTCCTTTAGAGACCCAACAGGACTCTCTCAGTCTCTTAGAGACCCATCAGGACTCTGTCAGTCCTTTAGAGACCCAACAGGACTCTGTCAGTCCTTCAGAGACCCAACAGTATACTCATCTTCATGTAAGGAGGAATATTAGGAATAACAGAATATTTGGTGTAAACGGTTCCAGCAAAGAAGAAAACGAGTTTTCTTGTGTTTCCAGCAGAAACACGAGAACAAAAGTGTATAAACAACCGTTTGTTAATTGATTTCCGTCTTAATCTTGCCGCTGGTTCCACAGATTATCCTTCACTCAAAGAACCATTGAGTATTTTCTTTTTTGTTTTCTTGCTCAAGGGCTCTCAAGCACTCAACCTTCACAAACTGTTCATGAGTGAGCGCGTCGGCCACGAAAAACACTAAAAAATGTAAATTCCCCCATTGGCTTTTGGGGAAGACGTCATTCTCCAAAAGCTCCGGCTCCAGCGGGGCCTCCTGAGCTGATAAGTCTCTTTGTGTCCGTCCAGCTTTTGGACGGTCCGTCCTCACGTCTGACATCATGTATGGCAGCACTTGTCTCAGCCGACTGGACGCACGTGGCCCTCTCCAAAAAATAAAGAAAAACCCGGTGACACGCCAACAATGCCCGCCGGCGGCGTCGCCGAGGCTCCACGCCGGCTCCACGCTGGGCCAGAGTCACACTCGAGTGATCTGAGAGGAGATGAGTGTCAAGTGGTGGGGTCCCCCTTGCAGAGGAGGTCCCCCTCGCGGAGGTCCTCGTCACATGTGACCGGTCCCGTCGGTTCAGACCGGTTCTCTGTGGAGAAAAAGATTAGCTCTGTGGTTGGAAAATATGGAAAATGTCCTCGTTGTTGTTGTGTGTAAGCTTCATTAAATAATTGATTATTTTGGACTTGTGATGAACAAAGCCTCGGGATGAGAATAAAGGGAACTACATGAGTTGTGTTGTTGTTGTAAAAGACTTTAAAAAGTGTAGAAATGTGTGAGCATGGGCTCATTATTTAGTGTTGCTCAGCATGTAAACTATGCTGGTGGAAATATAAAGAGAGAGCACTTTGTACAGGTGGATGAGTCCAAAAACAGGTTTATTTAAAGAGCTTTTCATGTAAAAAGTGTAATTTAAGAGCCTAAAACAAGCTAAAATAGAATAAGCAGGTATGTAATAGTATAAGTGAGGGTTGTTTGTTTCAGATTTATGGAACATAAAATCGATCAAAAGTCTTGTTGGGAGGTGACGTTTGTTTTGTAGCGTAATGACTGTAGTGACTGTTTCACAAGATTCACTGATTGGAATAAATGTCGTACAACATTCAGTCCTGAAAAGGCCCCTGCAGGTCCCTCAGACCTCGCTTTGAGAAACCACATTGTCTGAGTCCACATTGTGACGCTGAACTCAGTGTGTGTGTGTGTGTGTGTGTGTGTGTGTGTGTGTCACATTCATATAGTTGCTGCATTGTGTTTTCATTGTGTTTTAATGAGATCATTCAAACCCTTCAATCAGCGGCCATCTTGCCCGTCTGACAGAAGAGACTCAGTTATTAGCGCCATTGT